ATTCGGAACATTTTTATGAGGATAGAAAAGTAGATGAAAAACTCTAACCTTGGCAAACTTATTCTTAAACTAAATGCTACGATTGCGTCAGTTGGTATTTGGTTGAATAGGACTTAAAAGATTAGGACTTCTCATAATTCATTTAATACATTCTTATTTTATTACCTACATGCATGAGACCGTGGCCTCACAGAAAACCGGCGAGAAACAACCTTTTAGCGTTGGGTTTTACCGTGTGAGTGAGATTACCGGAGGTCCAATCCATAAACCTCCAAAACCTTAATCCCCAAAAGGTCGGCAGCACACTCGGCAACTCCATGGGCGGCGCTGATTGCTTACCATCAGGTAATCCGTCTGCACGTTTACCGACATATCACTTAAAAACTTACAAATTACCACATCACAGCTTCATAGATAAATAAATCTCACTACTTGTATACCTACGCAATTATTTACCCCCATGTCAAATATAACAAGCCATTTTAGGGGTCAGCGTGCGTTAATTCGAACCCTTCTCACCTGCCCGTGGCACGTACGGAATGATTAATTTGGGAACTTTACGGCGCTCGACATTTGTTTGTTTAAGGGTTTCATTATAACAGCGGTATGGATTGAAATCGGTAGTTTTACGAATCATTAATTAGGTAGATATTTATAATGATAGTTGATATGATAATAAAAATTTAAATAGTATCTTTACTTTACTGTTTTTTTGAATACTTCGATTTTAATCGAAATAAACATAATACAGTAAACCTGGTTAAGTGAAACATTAAGGGACCTGCAATGTCGTTTCACTTATAGAGGTATTCCACTTACCCAGTGTCTCAGATATACAGGTATAAATAAATATCTGTTTCATTTACAGAGGGTTCCATTAATAGAGGTGAGAATATAGGTTATTTCAGTTATACAGTCAGTTATTCAGTGATACATAACACGTTATTTTATTTAATGATCGCATTAAATAAAATAACGTGTTATGTATGTAAATAAGTTTTATTAAAAAAAAAATAGTACTTAAAGGTAATCATAATCACAAACTTTTTCGTGTCTTCCCACTTTCATAAACGGATATTAACTTCAGTTTTTCACGTAATGATAACGATTGTAGCTTTCGTTTTGGCATTTTTCAAATAAACATCTGTATCATAGTAAAGCGAAACTAAAACTGAAGGTAATTGAAGCTCTAAATTTGTACTTACGTACTTGGAATTATGTGTGGAATTTGTGGGTAGAATAAGAATGAGTAAACAAACAATGTTATCTCAGTTACAGAGGTTGATGCATATAAAATTTACTCGCTGTCTCAGTTATAGAGGCAACTATGATGATAAATCGTAAGAATAAATCCCAGATATACAGGTTTGCCTCGTCCCACTAACAGAGGTAATTCAGTGCCAATGTGTTGGGACCTCAGCATGAGTTCCAGTTATGGAGGTTTCTCACTTATCCAGGTCCCACTTAACCAAGTTTCACTTTATATGAATATAAAGCTTTAAGTTCTCTTTTGTAAAAATTTTTGTTTTATTTATTTATTCTTTATTATACACCATCAGGACAAAACATAATTATGATAATATAAAACGATAAGACCCAAAAAAACAATATCTTCCAGACAACGTTTAATTTCGGATGTAATTGAACTGTAGAATAGTTTGGAACGGGACAATTAATGGCGTAGATTGCGATAAATATTTAAACATAACAATACTAAAATATTTAGCCCTACTTGTGCCTATGAATATTGTAGGTACCTACTTATTTTTTTAGACGTAGCAATTATTTTATCAGCATCTTACAACACCAATTTGTAGTAATTATTATTAGCTTTCGCCTGCATGTCATTGAAACGATAATAATTGACAGTCAACCCTACATTATTACAAAAAATATAGGGGAGCAATCAATAGCAGGGCTGTCGAGTTGACACCAATTGAACTGCAATAAGGATGTCACAAAGTCCTTTTACCTATCGTAACCGTATCTATAACCGACCATAAAAATTAATCATAAAAAATATATAAATGAGATGGATAATTTTAAAAGATCAGCAATTAGCTATTGAAGATAGTGTCGGCGAAGACGAAACTTATTATGATGTTAAAGAGGATGCCTGACTTGGAGAAAAACAGGTCATGATAATAATTTTGGCTAAAGAATAAAAAGCCGTAAGAAACGAACTCTTACCATGAGATAAAATTATTGATTCCAATATCAAACTCAAATCATTTAATGTAGGTAAGTCTTAAATCTTCGTCAATCCTATAATTACCTACTTTTGATATGTCATAATAGAATCCGATATCTTCATCCGTAGTCGAATCCGAAATTTCAATTCGACACATCCCTAAAAAGTGACAAATAATCATGATCGACGAACAGTTTAGAGTTGAAACTACCGTTCGTTATCCGGAGTCAAGTGGCGGAAATAATTCGGAATGACGCGACACATTCGGGATCCTAGTTTCACGCTGTTATTGTTAGGGTTGAGCATGTGTTTTTATGCCGATTAAAGTCATAGAGGAATAATCCCGATCCTCTATGATTAAAGTAACATATATTTATGGTAAAAAGTTCAATTATGATAATTTATTTCGCTGTAAAATTCTTCTAATGTTTCGGAAATCAGCTAATGACTACTCCCGACCACTGGGAATTTCAGACAATTGACAAAAACCTTTATCATTTCTTCTTCTGCTTTGATTAGGGCTGCCCTAAATGATTGTGATTGCATCCGCAACCCTGGCAGAATATCGGCCCTAGTAGGCGCCATCTAAGGTGGTCCGACGGTTCTATGAGGCGCGCGTGGAATGCGATGTGTCGAATTTCTGGTTTATATTAACTATCAATCAGCCATTAATGTTTCTTATTGATTTTTGTGGTTTTACAGGATGGAGTTGATAGTTTTCATTGTTTAGGGAATATTTCTGTTCTACTCAGAGACATTAAATTATTTATTAATCTGTTTCTTAGTATCGATTTAGTCATTACATTTGCCAATAACCCAGACATTGGCATTTGTTGTAAGTTTCTTTATCCTTCTAACTGTCGCTTTCTTTAACTGTCCGTTTTTTTTCTTTGTATTTTTCAGATGCTGTAATAAACTTATAACATTGTTTCTATTGGATTGTTTTCTTCATTGCTACGTGTAACATGACAATTCGACCGGTACCCAGAGGAAGGGTTGTTAGCAATCATAATTGAGTTGAAGAAAGGGCAGAATTATAATAAACTGATCAATACTACATCATAGAAAGATTTCATACAAAATTCGAAAGTAATGATAAAATCCACACTCTAGTTTAACGGCTCCGATGTCGCAACAAGAATACAAAAATCTGAAGAGAGAGCAAATACAACTAACTACCGAACATCAAGTGTGGGAGAGCCAGACTTCGGCACGAATGGGTTGATTCGACCGGAATGATACCACGACCTCACAGAAAACCGGCGTGAAACAACCACACTGTTGCGTTTCGCAAAACATGGCTCTCCATTACGGAATTTGTAATAATGATTAGTGCATATCAATAGACTAACCCTCTTGTGAGGTGATGATGTTGCGTAATATTTATCCAGCAGCGTTCTCACGCGATTTGCAAAAATTAACGAATCTATTTTTTTTTTTATATACCTACTAGGCCGTTTTATTGGACCTCCGTAACCTTAATCCCCAAAAGGACGGCGTCGCATTCGTAACTCTGTTCGTGATCGGGGTGTTCATTTGCGACGCCGATTCCATACCATCGCGTAATCCGTATGCTAGTTTGCCTACCTATCGGAAACTACAATATCGGTAAATATCTATATAAAACAAACGTGAATTTCAGAAGACAGGTATGGATTGGATATGTTGGATATAGCTACTCGCTCGCGATTTCACTCACTGCTCGACTCCATTTCATTGTAGCGAGATGTTTTATAGCCTATATCACTCGGGAACACTGTAGCTTTAAATAAGTGAATGAATTTTGGGAATCCGACCAGCAGTTCCAAAGATTACCCCCTACATACAAACTTACAAATTTTACCTCTTTATAATATTAGTATAGATATAGATAATTATGTATTCTTCACATGGACACCTCCACATTCAACAAGAAATCCCTCAGTAGTTTAGCATAAAAAAGTGTAGGTAAGTATCTAGGTACTTTCGTTTGTCTTTCCATTCTTAAGTGAAAATGACATTAACTATAATTTACAAAAGCTGGTACAATTTCTACATTAAAGTATGCATCTGAACCCTCCTCATCTAACGAAGGGGCTTTAAACAACTAAGGACCGTTAGAAATCCCTGTCTAAAGTGATTTCATAATTACAAATTTAATAGCCCACTGGACAAAATACGAAATTTTGAAGGAAAAACATTAATATTGTTCAATAAATATATTCCGTTTATTTATATTGAAATACATGTTAAGAAAATAGACATGTATACACGATACGACAAACATACAAAATACAATTCTTATATCACTAATTAAAGACAAAACGAGAAACAATGACTTGGAACAGATCCATCAAGAGCTTGAGTTTGATAAATGCTATCTCTTTTTCTCCCATACAATTGAAAAGAGATAGAAACAACAAGAAACATTTACCTACGTTAATTTAATTAGTTTGTTCACATTGGAATATACTTTTTAATGTAATTATCTTATTGACAAGTATCAATATTTCTATTTATAAATTAAAAACTTAAATATCACATTTAAAAATAATAAACTTATGGACGTTTACACTTTACAATGAAGATCGATATTATTTGAAATAAGGTTCCATAACTTTCTATCGCGTAGTTATAAATACGCTGAGACATAAACACAAGAAAACTCCGTAGTTGAGTTAAATCAAAATTTAAAACGATATAAAGAACAAATGTACCTAACTGTTGGTTAACGACAATTAGGTAATTACTTTTACATTTAACTACAGAGTATTTACACAAAAATCGCAATAAAAAATCACGACACATTTTTTTCCAGAAAATAAACCTATATCACCACTGTGCACCTATAAAACCACTTTTAAAGTGATAAAAATAAAACGCCTTTTTTGTCTACAAAGTAAAATTAAGATCACCACTGTGTACGTACTACCTACAAACATAGATTGAAGAAGGAAATATTATTTCTCAGATCACTCTGTTATCACCAGATTCTTGACTACAACTGTTTAGTCGGTGGAATCGAGTGATAGGCGTCGTTGTCATCCACTGATCATGTTGACATCCTCTTCCTCTCCGATCTGGAGGATGGCTTTCTGGATCATCCTCTTCAAACGTTTGCGGGATTCATGCGAACGAAGCGTCCTGAGCTCTGAGGCCACGAAATCACCGAATATCTGTAGAAAAATCGATCATGTTTATTGCTTGTTAGAGTCCATTGTTCCCGAGTTACTAATTGGTGGGAAATTAATTTATAATGATGTCAAAATATTACCTTGAATAACCTAAATTGGAATACGAAAATTAATGTGATACTACTTTTTTTAATTTTTAGGAAACTACCCAATTTGTGGATCACACAAAGTGTTATTCCGTGCAGGAATCGAACCCGTCGCACAGCTTCAAAACTATTTTATCTACTTACGACTGAATGTTACAGATTTTAGGTTTATGTAATAAATTAAAAATGTTCCTACTTTAAAACTGTATTTTAAAGACATCTTTTAAGTTTGTTCCTTATTACCTGACACTCATCAGCGTTGATTCCAGGTCTGATTCTAGGAGTAGGTTCTTCAGGCCACATGAGAGGATTGGCGCTGGGAGGGAGTGGGAGTGGCGCTGAGGCTGCCACTCTGAGAGGCTTGTGCAGCCTCCTACTGGGGCTGCCATTAGCACTATTATTCGATGCGAGTAACGCTACGTGAGCACGAGCTGCTGCACCAAATTCCTCTTCTTCATCAGCTTGAAATTCTGCTAACTGGTGGAGAAAGAATTATAGTTTACTAAGAGTATAGATTCACAGACCCGAGCGGAAGGCGCGTAGCATTCCACGCGCACTTGAAAGAGCCAATAAACCACCACAGACGGCGCCCTATAGGGCTGATGTTCAGCCGGGGTTGCGGGGTAAGCGCATTGGGGCAACACGGCCTTGGCCTAAAGCAGGAGAAGAAACGGTGGTTTTTAGTCAGTAAGACAGTGTGACACTCTGACACTTCCCACAAACACTTGACAGTCTGACACTTCCTGTGGCCTCACCTTGGGCGGGAGAAGTCATTTGATGATTTTCCACTAACAAAAAAAGGTGTATAGATTCAAGTCATTAGGGAAGACTACGTCGAGCACTGGATGTTTTACCACTAAGATGATAATAATGAATTGATGATGGTGATATGGGATTTGAAATAGATAAGCTGAAAAAAAAATTGAGCTCTTTTATTTAGTTAACTGATAAATAAAATGTGTGAAACTGGAAAGTTTTTTTGATAAATCGCTTGAATACACTGTTTGAGTGCCTACGACAATTTTGATTGTTAAGCCCTTTGATTGGCGGTTAACCTGTTGCAGGGCAATCAGAGAGCCCAACGTCATAAACGTGTTGATCGCCGAAAGGGAATTTTCATGCCTTCAAGGTTGTTTCTTTTCTTTTTGGCACTTTACAGATGATTAAACGTCTATTAACGATAATCAGTGTAGGTATAGAGCAAGAGAAGGAACGGTGGCTTTTTAGTCCGTAAGAGTCTGACACTCTTTCTCGCCTTAACCAGGGCGGGAGAAGTCATCAGATGATTTTCCTCTGACAAAAAAAGGGCATGTCTTTCTGCCGGGGTTGCGGGGCAAGTGCAATAAGGTACCACAGCCTGGGCCTAGAGCAGGAGTAGGAACGGTGGGATTTTAGTCAGTAAACCTGACCCACACTCTGTTCTTACCCTGGGTGAGTGAAGTCATTTGGTGATTTTCCACTCACAAGAAAAAGGTAAGTGTTTACATAATAATTATTCTCGTAAACACCATCAATACCGCTAATATACCTACTTGTTTTATTATCTTAATATGTATTATCAAGCTGTACAATTTCCAAGAATTGAAGTAAGTTTAAATTTCGCGGGTTATATTGAAGCATCTGCCAAAACTAATACTTAACTAATACTACCATTCGTATCTAATATTTTTTTTAATTAGAATTGAATATTCATCAAAATTTTAAGCTGGAGATATCTTTACAAGAACGATTTATGTTGGTCAATTAACTAAAATAAATGTTGGTAATATTTTTTACAATAATTGACACTAAAAAACTGTTGGAATTACAACGCGTGTATTTTTACTTTTTGTATACCAAACACCAAAAGAATGTGTACCTAAATAAGACGTAATAAAAGTTCATTTACAAATACTAATCACATTCACATTACAATTACTTAACATCTTCTGTTCATTCGAATAACATTTACAATCTTAGTAAAATTTTGTTTGAGATTGTTCCTATCAAAACATCATGTAAATATTGACGATAACGGCTTCTTATTCACGCTAATTTCAACCGTACTCCTTAGCTACCAAAGTTCAAATTTCAATGCCGGAGTAGTGTCAGCTGTCTATCGATCTAGCCTCAAATATAGTAAACATTCGAGAGGTACGGAATAGGTATTTATTTCTATGTATAAAAACTATAGAACATTACTATGGAGTAGAATTACAACAATGTTAGTTATATTCATATGAAGGTCAACAAATCTTTAGGTAGGTACTTATATACATTGTTATTTTTAATCCAAAAAAGGTTCGTAAAAAAACAAAGAGGTTTACAATGTTAATAAAAATAAATACTTTAACAGATTTTTTAACAAACTTTTCACTTTGTCTATGATCAACACGAAGTGTCAGACTGTCAGACATAAATGTCATGACAATGACACGACAATAAAAATGTCGAAACTGAACAAAGAAAATCGATGAAATCTATTTATAGCTCTTTGCAAAGCAAAATAAAAAAAAACTGAAACAACACGTTGATAAAACAGCGATAAGATTCAAACTACATATTTATGTTGACACTATACTGTCATCTAAACATAATAACAAACACGTGCAAATAGATAAACGGGTTCCGTAGTACGGACACTTACCTCCAAATTAACTGCGTCAACAGTCTCCAACGCCTCCGCAGATGGCGTCCGCATCAGAAACGAGAGAGCATCGAAGTACTCCCACCCGCTGCGCACCACCTGACCTCGCTTTATTTTCCGCAACTCATTGTTAAACTGCGAACGCAAATTATGTACTTTTCTGCTTATCTCCTCCGACGTAGTCCCTATTACCTCTGCCAGGTACTCTAACTTCGCCTGCCTAGTGTTCCGGTCTCGGTTCAACGGATTCTTCGCATCCCACAACTCTCGACATTCCTTCTCCATAGTCTCAATCAACTTTATTGTGTTCTCCGTAGTCCAGTACAGCTTACATTTCGCATTCTGATCCCGTCTCGAATACTCTCGCTCGCTCTCCGAATCAACTTCTATTTTCGGTGAATAATTATTGATAATATCGTACGAATTTGAATTTGAATCCGCCATGTCGAAATTGACGTTGTAGTATCGAAAGCGCTCTAGCGAGACTGAGGGGCGAGAGCGCCGAGACCGGTGTCTGGCGGAACGGCAACGTCGCTTACGTAATAATAGCCGCGCGACGTTGCCAGCTGGTAGGATAACGCGTGCATTTGCGTTGCATAGTTAGGTACTGGAAGGCGCTAAAGAGACTAAAGAGTCGAACTATATAATGATATTAGTGGCTATTAGCGTAGTTTGTTAACAAAGGAAGTGTTGTCGGGGCTTAGCCGTCTGCTAGCCAAGTAATAAGTACAATCTGAGATCGAGAAGTGAAAGCGATGCTATGAAATCGGAGATGAGCCTTTAGAAATGGGATATTTATCGCGTAAATCACCTCTGGCCTCGGCATAAACATAGCTACGTCTCAACCAACTATATTAACATATACACGTAATATTTTTGAGAGTTTCCTTATGGAGCCATAGCTAGGTAATATCTGGCGAGAAATAAAAGATTTAATGATGGACACATGCTGTATAAGTCATCAAATCCGGTCGTAAATGTGTCCTGTTTATAGGATAACCCGTCTGTACGTATTTATCGTTTGTAGATAACTAGTCACTACGTACGCACGTAAAAGTTAAAGCGTAGTTTCGATGATTTTTCGTAACACAAGTGAGAAAATGTCGCATGAGCGGAATTATTTATTAGGTTATAATATTAAATCCTATCTTTATTCGAAAAGAAGAATAGTTATGTTTGTAAATTAATCAATAAGTAGGTATTTAATCTTTATTCTATGTAGATTTATGTGTATAATAAATCGGAAAATGTGTTGCATAAGTAACCGAATTACTGAACAATAATTATATATCATGTTTTTATTGTTGTATCTTTTATCATTCGTAGGTTTTTCTAGAAGAAAATTAAAAAAAAAATAGGATTTTGCTAGGAACTTTCGTCTTTAGCGAGGTAGTTGGTATGGCGGTCAGGGGCGGGCCTCGAGCAGTTACTAATACAAACAAAGCTAGTACTTACGTCGTTTTAATAAGTTGGTTAAAATAGGACTAAACCTAATGTAACTAGTAGATAGAAATGATTTTAACTAAGCCTCTGCTTTATTTTATTAAGAAATTTTATTTACACTGCACAATTGACACAGTGACTGGGCATTAGGCTACTGTATGTACTTAGAACTTGTCACTATCACTGGTTCCTTTCTTGCGCGGAACTCGATAAGTATGTTCCTTGTGTGATTCCCATATTATTGTTATTTCGTTTCTGGGTCTGATGTGTTTGACTATGCTATACTATCTGGGGGGTAACCATGACGATTAAAGTAAGATTGTTTTAATCTTACTTCAGTGTGAGTAAGAGACAGAGCTATACAAGTTGTCTAGCTCTGTCTCTTGCCTCCTAGCTTGTCTAGTTATAAGCGTACCCACGACACTGAAAAAGAAATTAAGAGTAGTACATACTTTTTCCTTAAAAAAAAAAAACAAAAACCTATTCTGTTATCCACAACCGAACCCTGAACATCATTGATACGATCGGCAGTTCGATGAGAAGTTCACAATTAACAAAAATTTCGTCCGTATCGCCGATGACCCAATTGAGTTTTAATTCTTGCGACGAGACAGGGTCGGTAGGGTCAGGAGGATATTGGTTTTGCTAGCTATACTTAATGTTTACTCATCTGTTTAGGGTTTCGAGATTATTAGCGTGATATTAAGTTGTATATAAAGAATTTGCTGTTACTCCTTTGGCTATACATATACTTATAAGTGTGTCTGTGTGAAGACTGAAGTGTGGAAGAGGTATGCCATGAGCCGGCTCGACCCTAGTGATACCACGGCGTCACAGCAAACCGGCGTGAACACAAGCACCAACACTTGTATTGTCTTTCGCCGAGTGACCCAGTAAGCCCATCCGCACTCCTCAAATCCCCTATCCTTTAATCCCTATGACCCACAAGAGGTCGGCAACGCATTTGTAGTAACTCCTTTGGTATTACGAGTGTTCATGGCCGACGCTGATTACTTACCACCAGGTATCCGTCAGCTCGTTTACCGTCTTATGACATCAAAAAAGTGTTTCGCCACTAGCGACCCGCCACGGCATACGCTGATACTAAATTTGTCTACTATTTAATGGATGTTATTATACCTACATATAAACCCTTCTCTTTAATCGCTCTATATACGTATCGAAAAATCCCATATCAAAATCTTTTATAAAGTTTTAAAGACATATACATACATAGGGACATAGAAAGTGTCTTTGTTTTAAACTATGTAGTGATATACCTATATCTACTAAAACAACAAAGTTACTTCTAACTATCTTTAGAAACTATGACATAGGTACTGACGTCGAAGAAACACATTTTTCTTGATCTCATAACTCTTCATTTTTCGATTTTCTTCAATATATTCGTTTACATGTAAAGATCGAAAGGGGAAAAACAAAACTTAGCTGAAAAAACTTTTTCGTCATTTGTTTTTTCTTTTTCGTACAGCCTTCCTTTCTTATTGAAAGAATTCTTCTCGTTTTTTAGCTAAGGACTTAGATAAAAGGAATTTTAATAACGAATTCACACACAATCACGATGAGTAGAATCCCGTACAAATTCCCGGGATCCCAGCGCTACCTTTTTACATTTCATTCGAGGAAAATCCTTCAATACAGATGAAATCGAGTATGCTTCCGGGCGGTCCCGGGGAAGCGCGCCACTAAATGGATCGCTGTGCCCAATTTAATAACAGATACGGGACGGGACGGGATCCCGGGATATTCTCTTTATTGTCACTACAATGAACTTGTAATCAGAAATGTTACCTCACACTTCGGTTGAATCAACCGAAGTGTGTTACAGTGAGAATTTTAGTGTGGGTCTTTTAGTTACTGATTTGTACTAACGCTGTTTTGTTATTTTTAGGTTCTATTTCTTAGTAAAAATAAAGTTTTAAGTAGAATAAAAAAATATTAAATTATTTAAATATTTTTACTTACATAATAACTACCTGAATTCAGCATTTCAATTATGATGAGTTGTTAAATAATTTGGTATCACGCACACACACACGTACAAACACACACACACGCACAAACACACACACACACACACGCACACACACACACACACACACACACACACACACACACACACACACACACACACACACACACACACACACACACACACACAGGCGCACACACACACACACACATTATAAAATATTCACAAATCTTCACATATTTAACTATAGACTCTGCTTTTGAGTAGGTAAACTTAATTTAAAATTCACACACAACAAACCCCTTAACAGAAAATCCGTGACAAAAACTTAATTAAACGGAACGTTACAAGTGACCAGTTAAATGACAAACAAACAAACAGAACAAAGGGTTACCTACTGTGGGGGTCAGCCCGCCATTAACTGTCCTGTGGGTAGCGTCCGCAAATAATGAAACCATTGCTTGTATCAAAAGCATTGGGTTTGAAATTTTAATAAACTTTTTTTTTTGCGTATTTTGGTTTGTCTGTGATTATGGGTAGCATTGAATACTTTGATTCGATTTTTGAAAAGTGACTATCGTAGGACGTACTATATTTATTGGAAATAACTATTTACGTGGTTGAACTGAGAAAATATCTGCGCTAGCGCGACGCTCACTCTACTCAACAAAAGAATCCTGCAGATATACTAACATATCTAAAATAAAAAAATATATGTAATTGAGATGGAGTATTCTCACCCTTTATTAGAAAGACACTATAATGAGCCATCAAACGGCAAAAATATTTTTTATGTGATTAGTCGGCAAACAGATTACCTGATGGCAAGTAATCAGCGCCGCTAATCGGACCGCCAAGCGGACACCCGCAGCAACAGAGGAGTTACAAGTGCGTTGCAGACCTTTTGGGGATTAGGGATTTGGGAGATTTACAGATTTAGAGATTGGGGAGGGGAAGGATTGGGCAACCTCCGGTAACCTCACTTACACGACGAAACACAACGCTGTGGTTGTTTCACGCCGGTTTTCTGTTAGGCCGTAGTATCACACCGGTCGACCTTACCTACCCTGTTGGTGAAGTTAGGAATAGCGGCTTTACGAAGGACCAATAAGCGTTGTGTAATTTTAGCGGGAAAATATATTTTTGTTAGGTACGTTACGTTGGATCGAATATTGGACGACACAGAAATTGAGCAGATGGAAGTGTGGGAGGAATAGGTGTAACTTACTTGGGAGCACTGGAGGGTAGGTTGGTGCACCTACTGCCGGCGTGGTCCGTGGATGATGACACGCACTCTTGGAGGATCTTTGCACTCGCGCTCGTTGAATTAAATCGATTAAGTATATTGTCCCACTTTATCACTTTGTGTCGGCCAACACGTTGAATTATTTTTAACTATAATGATGGTAGTACAGCGGTTTAGTTTTTTGAGCGATGTTGAGCGGTGGGCGGCTTGAAGAGAACAGGACGAAAATCATCATGGCGACCTTTGTCTTCGCGGTGTGTCGCTGCGGCGGAAACGCTTCTCATTGGCGTAGCGGTCCAGCACCCTTTGCGGAATGGTGGTAGGATTGGAAAGGAAGAAGGAGTAGGATTGGCTCAATACTGTGTTCCAATATGAATTCTATGTTTAATGTGTGAGACGCGTTTGGATACATGATACCAACATTTAATATTTTATTTATTTAATATAATATTTTATTCATTTAATATTTAACATTTCTAGTTTGCGTAAGCATACCCATTCTTGCCGAAGCATTGCTCTCAAATGAAAATGAAGACTCGGCAGATATGATAATCAACCAGCCGACGACAAAATATTAAAATATATATCTCAAAAGTATCCCTATTTTTAGCTTAACTGTAAAATTCCAGCACAGAATGGGATTGAGGGATTTATCGGATCTGTTCACATCGGGACAAAACAAATGGGTCGTGTTAGGAGTGACCAATTAAATGGCAAATAAAATACAAGAGAGGGACTGATCCCCTCCGGCCCTCCGGCCTCGCAGCCACGTGTCGCGTGTTTGTGAAGTATTGTGGAATGTTCACGAATTTTCAATGGAGTTCAAATTTTAGGAATCGTTTT